AATATAAACAAAGGTGAAACTAAGTTACAAAGGACCCATAATATTAAATTCTAAGCTAAAAAAGGGTAGATAAATCCATATAAAAATTAAACTAATCAAATACCCCCAAACTTAAATTCTTGCTTGTCCTCAAGCAAAAGAAAGCTAAAAAAACCAAAGCTCACATACATTCTTCCCCACAGATAACACAAGGAGCATCAACATTCAACTTGATTTTTAGTTCAAATTCCAGTAATACCAAGCAAGGGAGTCAATGACTACCACTTTCATATCCATGCTCATCTTTAAATAAACCCATGCAAACTTGCAATAAGCACCACTGAAACATGTAACAATATACCATGTAATTATCCCTTCTGTTTTTTTTTGTTCTTTTTCTCTTTTCTTCTTTTTTTCTAGCCATACATCACAATCTTCCTTGAGCTATCACTTATCTTTTGACGCGAATACTAACATTTGTGATGAAAGCACCCGGTTACTCAATAAGTCACAAATTCAAAGTGCTTTGCATACTCATATTTCAAGTTACCGTTTGACGTGAAAGCTAATATGGGTCGCATACCTAACCCCCAGTTACTAAGCACTTAGAAACATTGGAGTAGAAATTATCAAATTTTTTGTGTGCTGGCTTATCTTTTTTTTTTTTTCTTTTTTTTTCTTTTCTTGTCAAGTTTCCTTAGGCTTTCTAAGTTACCCATGTAACGAGCTTTTTGCCAATGACTCCCAAACCAGTTGGCTTTAGGGCACTAGGTGAAGAGACACCCCTAAGAGCATACTTACTCAAGTAACAAAGGCCACGAAACATTTGACTTTTTTTTTTTTCAAAGCAGTTTCCAGGGATAATTAGACAAGATAGTCATCACAGAAACAATGGCACCTACTCACAAGATGCATATAATTTCCAACCAAAACAATTATAAAATCAAAGCCCTCAACTCCTCTCATCAAGGTATTACTAAATTTTGACCTAATCATCAAAGAAGAACAATATCCCTCACTTGCAGCATCTATGCAACCAAAAATATGTATAGGCTCATCTGACTATATTCATACCATGCTGGAAACTTAAACTCGCACACATGCATCCAATATTCTATCACTTCAAACCACAACAAAAGCAAGAACACAAAAAAATCCTCCCCCAAACTTAGAATTAACATTGTCCTCAATGTAAAAATAAATAAATAAATAAGTAAGAGAAGAAAGACAATACTCCCCTATCTTGCTCTTCCTGTTATAGACATGCAGTGTGTTCTTCTAGAGCCAAAAGTTCTTGTTATAGTTGTGTAAACTGCTGCAAAAAGGGTAATAAAAAGCTAACCCAGCCAAAATTAGAAAAAAGAAAATGAATAAAAGAATTGAATAAAAAGCAAATGTCAAAGAACAAACTAAAAAAAAAATGAATAAAAGAATTAAATAACTCAATGCAAAACAGAAAAATGTCAAATAACAATTTTTTTTTTTTTTGGGTTGCCTCCCATTAAGCGCTTCTTTATGGTCATTAGCTTGACTATCACTGCAAAATGATCAAAGGTCTTTCAATAAAATGGTGGAATTAAATGCTAGAAAATTACCACCTTCAACATAAATTTTCAACCTTTGGCCATTTACCTTAAAAGTTCCCTTAGTATCATGTGAAATTTCAACAACTCCATAAGG